CTTCCTTGAGCCTTTCACCCTCCTCAAAACCACACAAAAGAGATATCAGACAGTATCACAAAGAAAAAACAGTTTCTTGCCATTTCAACCAGAAGGGGCATTGTCTCAACGCATTACCTGCATCCTGCTTCAAAGACATTTTAACACCAGACTTGAAAGAGAAACCTCTGAACAGTCATTCATGCTTAAATTTGACACTTTACGCCTGGGTCTCAACAAAGATGCTAATTACCTTACCCATTACAAAGATAGCTTCCCCAATTATCACCTCTAATATCATTAGCTCACAGACATTAACCTCCCCTCCTCATCCCCGCTCTGTTCTGAAATTTGATTTGTCCTTTTTATGTGTGTTCACTTTTTTTTATTGTATCCTTTGGTATATATGGTCATGCCAATTTTCTTCCACAATTTGATCTGAGGAAGTGGGTCTGGCCCACGAAATAAGGGCGCCTATGAACTCTAGAACCTGGGTAGGGACCAGGGTAGACTTGGCCATGTTCAGAAGAAGTCCCAGTTCCCAGAAAAGGTCTTGCACCAGAGCAATGTGAGCCAGCACCTGGTCCGAGGACAAGCCAATCACCCGGGTAGGGAAACACCTGGACACCAAGCTCTCTCAGAGCGGCCATACATTTTGTAAACACTCAAGGAGCAATAGAAAGGCCAAAGGGGGAGGACCGTAAACTGATAATGGTCCTGGCCAACCATAAAAGCGGAAAAGCTGCCTGTGATGAGGGGCAATAGAAATATGGAAATAAGCATCCTTTAGATCGAGAGCAGCGTACCAGTCTCTGAGATTCAGGGAGGGAATGATCGATGCCAGAGTCACCATCTTCAACTTGGCCTTGGCGATAAAGGCATTGAGTTCCCTGAGGTCTAGGATGGGTTGAAACCCCCCTTTGGCCTTGGGGACCAGGAAGTACCGGGAGTAGAAACCCAATGCCCGTGAACCCCTGGGAGACCACTTCGGCTGCTCCTAGACTTAGGCCCAGAAGAGATGCTCGTGGGAGGGGTCCCTCAAGAGGGACAGAGTAAGGGGATGGCGTATCTCCTTCCTACTGTCTCTAAGATCCATCCGTCTGAGGTTATGGACTCCCAGGCACGGCAGAAAGGGAATAGGCGCTCCTGCAACTGGAGGGGTGAGGCTGGTAGGCTGTCCTTGGGCGTACCCTCAAAAACCCCGACGGTGCCCTTGGGGCTTGTTGGAGGCTCCCTGGCCCTGATCCGAAGCAGGATGGGAACGACATCTATTATTCTTTCCGTTCCCATTCCTCCTCCTATGCTGGGAGAAGTCCGAGCAGCTGCCCTGTTGGGCAGGCCTAGGGGCATTCCTACCTGAGAGGGAGTGTCTCTGGGGAGCTGGGGTATGAAGGTATCCTTCAAGCCATGCATACGGTGGTCTGTCTGCTCAGAGAATAGGGATGGCCCTTCAAATGGGGGGTCCTGGATGGTAGCCTGGAGCTCGGGAGACACTCCAGACACCTGCAGCTAAGAGCTGTGGCACAGCACCAAACCTGTGGCCTTGGCGCATGCCCCTGCATCAGCGGGGTCTAGGGTAGCTTGGAGAGCAGCACAGGAAACCCCCCTGCCCTCCTCCAAGAGGGACTTGAACTTGGACCGAGAGTCCTAAGGGACCAACTTGGCAAATCTGTGCCCATGTGTTGCATGCATAGCAACTCAGCACAGGACCTGCTGGTTTGCTATACGGAGCTGCAATCCCCCAGAAGCGTAGGCCTTTCTGCCCAGGAGGTCCATCTTTTTAGCATCCCTGCTCTTAGGCATGGCATCCGGTTGGCCCTTCCTCTCCCTCTGGTTCACTGCCTGGACGACCAGGGACACCGGAGGTGGGTGGGAGAAGAGATGCTCGTTCTCCTCCTGCGGTACGAAGTACCTCTGCTCGACCTTTTTATCAGTCAGTGAGATGGAAGCCGGGGTTTGCCAGAGGGTCTTTATGATCTTTGTCACGGTCTTGTTAAAGGGCAAGGCCACTCGGGTGGGAGGGTGTCAGGCTGCAGGATATCTACTGTCGAGTCCAAGTCCTCCGACACCCTCTCCGCCTGTACCCCTGGACTCTGTGCCGGGTGATGAAGGAGGTGCTGGTGCGACCTCAAGTCCATGGAGGGCAGAGCCCCTCCAAAGGCCTCGTCCAGCGGGGAGGAAGATGACCCTTTCAGGGCCACCACCTCCGAGTTGTGGACCTGTGAGAGGACCTGGGAAGCCGTCGAGGAAACCCCATTGAGGGCTGAGCAGCGGATGGCCCTCTCTCTGAAGCGGGTCTGGGCGAGGCCTGCCCCGGAGGGAGAGACTACCCCGATGTAGGAGAGCGAGTCACTGGGGTTGCCGAAGGGGGAGCCCTGGGCCCTGAGTAGACCAACTCCGGCTTAGAGAGGTCCACACCCTGGCTCTGGTGGTAGGCCCAGG